ATGGTGCTTATGTTGCTGGCTACAACCCCAACTATGGTGCTAATGTTGCTGGCTACACCAACTATGGTGCTAATGTTGCTGGCTACCCCCAACTATGGTGCTAATGTTGCATGCTACACCAACTACGGTGCTAATGTTGCTGGCTGCTACTACAACTATGGTGCGAATGTTGATGGCTACGACACCAACTATGGTGCGAATGTTAATGGCTACGACACCAACTATGGTGTTAATGTTGATGGCTACAACAACAACTATGGTGTTAATGTTGGCTACAACAACTATGGTGGAAATGTTCGTGGCTACAACACCAACTATGGTGTTAATGTTGTTGGCTACAACAACTATGGTGGTAATGTTGCTGCTACAACACCAACTATGGTGTTAATGTTGCTGCTACAACAACTATGGTGGTAATGTTGCTGCTACAACAACTATGGTGGTAATGTTGCTGCTACAACGCCAATGAAGATGATTTGAAGCCGATCAGAAGAAGCATTCTCCAGTTATATCACTGATTCCGACGATTCTCAATTATATTTTTTACTGTGTTACTATATTGACAAATTTGTCTGCATACAAGCTAAACTGAATGGGTACGATCCCGGCACTGAGACGCATCATCCATTAAATACTGAAGCTGTTCAGAAAAGGTAGACTCAAATACGTTTAAGGTTATTGAAAGAAACTACGGTACGGGTGGGGATTGAACTCGCGGTCAGTGAGTCGTAACACTCCCCGCACGTACCGTGGTTTGTTTACAATCGTATCATTACGATTTCTTGAGTTATTGTAAGGAAATAGAAATTTCAATTTATATTACGCATTAAGTAGTCAAATGTGCACCTACACATTTGAAGTTTAATCCGCCATAGCCAAAACTGCAGATAATTTCCAAAGTTTTCGAAACCATTCCAAGATTCTGGGTTTAACAACTTTGGTCATTATGCAGCTGCACCTGCACCTGCCAAGTGTTCCTAGAATCTTTGTCCAATTACCGTACACCAGTCTTGAAAATGTTAGCCAGTTAAGTGAGTCATCGTAGTAGGATTAAATCGAAAACAAAAAGTTGGATCAAATTAATTCAGGAAGATTCTTGACTCGCGAAATTATAATAACACTGACTGGAAAAAATCATAGAACGGTTGGAACTTGAACCATAGTGGAGTGGGGATCATCTGTTAAACCTGCATTTGTGGTCACAGTGGTGGTCCATGCTAACATTCCTGTGGTATATAAAATTATACCTAGTTGGATAAAGCTTGTTATGCCGATATGGACCAGTGGTTAACACACTGGCCTGCGAGTTTTACGACTCACCTTCCATGGGTTCGATCCCCACCCGGTCTGTGATTTTTTTAAAATTCTTCGGGATACCCGGTTAATCAATAACTACAGGGAATCAGGCAGAATTGTAGCTTAAAAGAATAATCTCAAAGAGAAAAATAAGAGGTAGGTTACTGAAAGCAGTGAAGACTTTTTACGAGGATAGTGAGGCTCAAGTTAGAGTATGTATGAGAGAGGGAGATTATTTCCCAGTATAGTAGGCTTTAGGTAGGCATGCATGATGTCACCTTGGTTGTTCAGTATATTTATGGATGGGGATGTAAGAGAACTGAATGCTCGGGGTGCTGGTAAGAGGTGTGGGATTAAAAGATAAGGAATCTAACTAAAAGTGGGAGTTGTAACAGTTGCTTTTTGCTGATGACACTGTACTTTTGAGAGATTCTGAAGAGAAGTTGCAGAGGTTGGTGGACAAGTTTGGTAGGATATTTAAATGAAGAAAATTTAAAGTGAACATTGGAAAGAGTAAGGTGATACGGATAACAAAAACATTAGGTTCATATTAGGCCCTCAAAGATTATTTGATAAGGCCGATTCCTCCTTATGGAAATGAAATGATAGAAAAATCATGATAAGATAAACAATTTTGTTAATTTGTAAACCTAGTATAAAATATAAAACATTTAAACAAGAAATTAATTCTACTTGAAGCTAATTTGTACACAAAAATGTTGATAATGGTGTCGTGTCGATGTTCTGGGCACATAGCTCTGAATCGTGGTTTGGAACGCTGAGCCCCCCACTCTTCATAGATCTAAACTTACTCCCAGTTCAGTACATCCACACTTACTACTGTGCAATCTACATCTACAGGGCCTTAAACTCTAATATCAACCTTGACCTAAAACGCTTTCTTGATAGTTGTGACAGAACCCACAGGCATAACACCAGACACAAACATCTCTACGACATTCCCCGTGTCCGACTAAACCTTTACAAAAATTCAATGTATGTCAAAGGCCCTAAAATCTGGAATACCCTACCTGAGAACTCTAGAACTGCAGACACATTCATCACCTTCAAAACTACCATTAGAAAACATCTTATCTCCCTGATACACCCCGTCAACTAACTACACGAATACCACCTGGTGGTTCACACTTACACTCACTCACTCATTTGACCATAAACAGAAATATTAATCTCAGTCTTAAAATAATGAATCCTGTGATACTCCAATACTGAAACTATGTACTGTGCCAAAACAAAAGCATTCACATTGCTAAACTCACAAACTAGTATTTAGTCACTTAGCCATAATACCAATTTACCTCATAATTTGTAATATTTTACAATTAAGAATAAAACTAAGTATGCCCGAAATGCCTAGCCATGCTAAGCGTTCTAGTGGTACACTCTGTAATCACAATTTTACTACATGTAAACCAAACAATAACCAAATTTCTGTAAACTCAGCATTGTAATCCTTATAGAGAATAAACTTTGAATTGAATTTGAATTTGAATGGATTAAGGGGTCACAGGTGGATGTGACCGTTGTAATACTGTAAGTAAACAGATAGTGACCCCAACATGAGTAGGGATTCTGACGAACAGAGGTACTGGGATCCTCTGACCACCACAACACTTCCGAAGTAGTCGAGAACCACCATGAAACATTGGAGGGATTATAACTAAGGAACGGCTGCAAGAATGGTGAGTAGCTGATTGCGAGTCGGCTATGAGTGGAAGGGGGCCAGTTTAGGTACCGATGCCAGGTAAGACCTCAAAATCTCTGCAAGATCAATGCTGCTCCTCTCATTTCGCCTGTGTCGGATTACCAGAGCCGACAATCAAGGCTAAATTACACACCAATCAAGAAATCACTCATATGATTGGCATATTGCCTTTCAGAGGAATTGTGAGAACTTCAATGATTACATTACACTACGTAAGTTCAAATCAGGTTAGGATGAAATAGCAGAATTAAAACATAAGAGTGAAGCTCTTTTTTAAAAAAAAATAACCCAAATACATTATATATTATTAAACAAGAGTGGATTGAATATTTACAGACTTGATGGGAGCCTAAGGTTAAGTGACTGTCAACTGGTGGGAGGGACACACGTCAACTCCCACCGGGTGGAGAAGGATGGAAAGGGGTGGGGGATAGCGGAAACGATGCACACAAAACATGCATCCCACACAACTACCACTACAATTCATTCGTAATTCCACTCTTATCTAATGAACTTTTCTCTCACAAAGTGAATGTCTTCAGATATTTAGAAGTGGACTTGGCAGCAGATGGGTCTATGAAAGATGAGGTGAAAAATGTGAGTGGTTCACTGTGGAGTCTGTGGAGACAAAGAACGTTATCCATGGAAGGAAAGAGGAGAATGTATGAGAGAAGAGTTATACCAATGCTCTTATATGAGTGTGAAGCATGGGTGGTGAATGTTGCAACAAGGAGAAGGTTGGAGGCAATGGAGATGTCGTGTCATAGGGCAATGTGTAGTGTGAATATACTGCAGAGAATCTGTAGTTTGCAAATTAGAAAGTGGTGTGGGGTTACAAAAAGTATTATCCAGAGGGCTGAGGAGGGGTGGTTGAGGTGGTTCGGACATTTAGAGAATATGGAATGAAATAGAATGACATGGAAATCGTATAAATCTGTAGTGGAAGAAAGGTGGGTACGGGTCGTCCTAGGAATGGTTGGAGGGAGGGGGGCAAAGGAAGCTTCGTGTTCAAGGGGCTTGGACTTCCATCAAGTATGCACGTTCATGTTAGGAGCAAATGGAGATAAATGGTTTTTATGATTAATGTGCTGTTGGAGTGTGAGCAAGATAATATTTATTAAGGGATTCGGGGAAACTGGCAGGCCGGACTGGAGTCCTGGAGGTGGGAAGTACAATGTCTGCACTCTAAAGGAGGGGTGTTGATAAGTTGTAGTTTTATAAACTGTAGTGAAGGCACGCCTCTGGCAAGACGGTGATGGAGTGAATGATAGTGAAGTGTTTCTTCTTTTACGGGTCACCTGCCTTGGTGGGAAACGACTTATGTATTAATTAAAATAAGAACAACAAACGTCATCAGCAGCACGTAATTATGTATTAAATTTAGCCACGTATGCAGTATTGTAGAGATGTAAGGCAACCTATTTACATAAATAGTTGTGAACAATCAAAAATATAGAATAGTGAGGTAATATAGCAATAAGATGTGGTAACAGCGCAACAAAACAAAACTATAGAGTAACGTAGAAGGGGATAAAGAAAGGTTTAAGAGATCCTAGTACCTTGTGGGCGTCTTGATATAGCAGTGATGCAAACATTAATAAAACAAGGAGAGAGTTCACAGAAGAATTCATTATTTGGAATTTGCTTCTCTGGACACTGAGTAAAACGTCGTAAAAAATAAAGATCTGTGGGGCGGGGAAAACCTCGAGCAGAGGAAGACCTTGACCAGAAGAAAGCATTGACCAGAGGAAGACCTTGACCACAGGAAGACATTGACCACAGGAAGACCTTAACCAAAGGAAGACCTTGACCAGAGGAAGTCCCCGACCAGAGGAAGTCCCCGACCAGAGGAAGTCCCCGACCAGAGGAAGACCGTGATGTTAAATGAGTGAATTATCATATGACTAGTACCTTCTCCACTAAAAATTATCATGATTCTCTTGACAAATAAATCCCAGTGAGGTTTATGTTGCAGGAGAGGATGCTGCGCATGGCATCTGCCTTCAGGCCTCCTCCAGGAATCGCCTTCAACATTAAGGTGAGTACTCTCATTCTCTGTAATTGCAGAGACGTGTGTGTTTGTTAAGGGCTGCATTCTGCCTCAAATTTAATATTTTTTTTCTCTATATATCTAATTTTTCACATGGTTTTACAAGGTTAGGTTAAGAATCTAAACTTTATTTACTAGCTAAGAGCTGTTACCGACATCAGCTCATTTGAAAAAAAATTTATTGTCTTAAAACAAACTGAGAACAGGATGAAATTGAAGTCATCTCTGGGCCACCCATTTCATTTGGTCAACTGATTATTTAGTTGATGTCATTATGCTGTACGAATCCCAGAAGGGTCATACAGAACTGCAGGGTTGGGTTCGTTAAAGGCTTACTATACTTGACCTGAGACTAGCTAGGGTGGAGAGTATATGAGAGATGTAGTGAAGGTGGTGAGGATTGCTAAAGGAAGTATAATCAAAGTTTGTGTAATAAATCTTTTGCTGTAAAAAGTCAAGAGGATCTGTGTCAACGGTGGGGCCGTCAGTGAGGAGGGAAGATAAAGTAAGGGTGTTAGAGCGGTGACGACGTCAGAGGTAAATTCTACGTGTTCGCTGATAGACAGGACAGTTCAAGAGAATATGACAAACTGAAACTGAAACCTGACAGTTCTCACAGACTAAAACTGGGCACCTCTCCATGAGATACCCATGAGTGAGACCTGTGTACTGTACCCAAAGTGAAGGCTGGAAACCATAGTCTCCAAAACACGACATCGATGGTAAGAAAACCGGAATCGTAAATTCCACTTGATAGAATATAATTTGTTACGAATCAACTCAGATGGTTGTGAAGGTGGCTAGAAATTTTAGCAGCAGTCAGCCTGGTCGTTGCCCTGAACATCAACATGACTCAAGAGAAAATGACTTCTTTGTTTCTGCTTGAAATGCAGCGCAAAGATGTATACGAAGAACTAGAGGGTGGGGGAAATTAATATTTTTGATTCCTTGCAAAGCACTAAAGGAGTCAAACTACCACAATTTGAGGTAGGCTGGGGGACAAAATGTGTTTTAATCGCTATAAAAATTGGCGGGGACGTTCATCTGAAAAATATTATTTTAAGTCTAAAAATTGGGTTTCTCGAAAACAACCTTGTGAAACACTGCTGAAAACCCTGACCCTTCAGATTTTTAAAACCCCATTAGTGTAAAACTGAACGGCATGAAATGAGCCGGAATTTGTTTAAAGGAAAAGGGGACAAGAAGCAACTAGGGGGTTTTGGGGTTTTTTGCGCTTTGGCAGGGGGGAAAAACCAAAAATACGAATTCTGGGAACCCCCCAAAGGGAAAAAAGAGGAGATTTTAATACAAGAAAAAACATAAAAAGGGGGCAATTGAAAAAGAAGTAAAGAGCGGTGAAGACAAAAAGGGAAAAAGGGACAGAAAAAATAAGGGAGACCAAAAACCCTTTGCACAAAATTCGGAGGCAAGTGCCCTCACGGCGATCGTTCATAGATGGAAAAATTTGGGTTCTTTTATATAGGCTCTCGACGGGAAGGGCAAAAAAAAACCTAGACACAAACGTAAACCCCGATGATTAAAGGGGAAACAAAATTTAAAAGAATTGCTGGAGAGGGGCCCCAGAATTAAAATTGGTCACCAAAATCTAGTTTCGATTTAAAATTTGGGCTGAATGGAGTTGAAGAAAAAGTTCGACGACCCCCACACAAAAACAGAAAGAAAGAGGGTTTTTTAAAAAAGGTTTATCTACTATGCAAGTTTCTATCAGGGAAGTAAGCCCAGGGTTTCCCCGGGCAAAAGGCGATCAAACAAAAAGACGAGAAAAACTAACCGTTCAGGGGGTCCCGGGGGAACCCCTAAGTTATAGTGGAAAAATTAGATTTAACAGAATTTTCTACTAAAGTAAACTGGGGGATTTTAGACCAAAAATTTAAACCCATGAAAAGTGGCCCAATGGGAAACGCGGTCGAAGATTCTTTGGGAAAGAGGGTGCTACTAGGTGCCCCGCCAAACTTTTACCCAAAGTCATCAACAAAAATGATCAATTATTAGATGGGGGGAATAGGGTCAATTATCAATAGCTATCAGAAAAAAAGTGGTTTCTAAGGGGGCATTTCCCCGGGGGGGGGCCCTTTAGCTTGGATATAGGGCCGGGGAAAGGTTTGATTTTTTAACCCCGACATGGGGGAAAAAGTGTCTGAGACAAAGGGGAAAATTTTAAAAGGGGAAAAATTTGGGAGAAATGCAAACCCGGGTCCCAAAGGGAAAGAGCTTGAAATCAAAAAATGTCATGCTTTTTTAAGATCAGAAAAAAACTGGGGAAACCCAGTGGTTTTAAAACAAAGGTTTTTACAAAAATAAGTATCTAACCTGAGTAAGGGGTCGATAGTGGAGCGGCCCTTAGGAAAGACAAATTGACTAGTGGAAAGACTATTGTGTCTCAAAATACCACCCCAAACGTCTATTTACCAGACGTTCCATTACCCTGGAAACTGCACTGGTAAGAACAATGGATCGATAGTGGGAGGCATCATGGCTTGAAGTGCCTATTTCAGAAACAGGCAGATCTGCGGCAGTTTTCTATGGACGGGGATTAACTCTTTACAAGCAGCCAAGATTAAAAAGACAGAGGACTACGAGGGTTGATGGATGTAAATGCTGGAGCATACTAATATGAATGCCATCAGGTTCCACTGCCGACAGTCGGCAAGCAGAAAGCGTTGACTCAAATTCTGGAAGCATAAAAGTCACGTCATAAGACTCTTTTCTTGCTAAAAGTCGAAAAGCAGCAACTCTTTGGCAGACTTAAGAGGGAAAAAACGAGATAGACGGAGCCCCTGAGAGATGAGAACAAGATAATTTCCAATAGCTGTGGCAACTTCAGTAGGATTTGCAAATTGCAATGCTGACACTGGCAAACCTAAGAACAGGAGCAGAGGCTGGGGAATACCTGCCACTCAATTTCCGTACATTTTTCAAACTGCACTCACAGAGGAAGTGGAAGTGACGGAAGAAACGTAATACTGGTGACAAGTGTTTTGCTTCACGGATTACAGATCGGACAACCGCCCTTGTCCCTTAAAATCAAAGACCTGCTCAGTGGTCTTATTGTTACAGATGAGATGGAGGGCAGGCAGTCCAAGAAAGCATAATGCCGTGATGAAAATCAAAGGTCTACCATACAGGGGGGAAGGTTTTTTTTTCATTAGTGCATTCTGCTGGATAGCAGCCGTTAGCATGACGTCACGGCCTGCCGCCACACTTCACAGTGATTTCTCATTGCTCACGTGGCTACCGTGGTGAGAGGAAGTGTTGCACTTTTGTCTCTCATCCGCCCCATTTTTTCAGTGTTACCTTTGGTTTTCACCCACATGGGTAAAAGGAAGTCTTGAACACCTGAAACTATAGCTCAAATCATAGAGCTTCACAGAGCTGGGCACCAGATGAAAGAAATAGTGGAGAATGTTAGAGTATGTGAACATTCAGCGTGGAACTGGGAGCAGCGTTTCAAGGTTGGTGGTGGTGTAGAGTTACCATCTGCCAAACCTCGGCCGGGCCCTTCCAAGAAGACATCTGTTCGTATCTTAACTGTGTTAAAGAAGCAGTTGGAGAGTAACTGCTTCTTTGTGAATTTTGTCGGTTTCTACGTAACATAGTTTAAACTTCATGCTCGAGGATTTAATTTGTAATGTCTGTTACAAGAAAGAGCACTTGAAAAGCATGTAACGGTAAGCATCAAAAGTGTTATGTAGTCCTGGGAGGGATGTGAATATATCTAGTGGAAACAAGAACAGCAAAGAAAAGTCTTTCAGGGTAAACTAACAAGAATATTAAGATAGTTGACGGATGAATCTCATTACATACATACAAGTAAATGGTAACAAAGATAATTATTATTTATCAAAGTTACAGAGACAAGTAGGAATTTTTAGGACATCTAGGTCGCAAAAATGTCCCCTTTCGATACCTACCATCTATCTCTCCACAAGTTGCTCTAGACCTATATTAATTGCAAATGAAATGTACATACACACCAGGAATTCTGGTAAAATTATTATAATTTTTGTGGACTGTATATTAAAATTAATAAATGATTACATATACACATTTATATAACAGGAGAATTTATAATCATAACACTCACCAATTTGTCTGGAGATTACTGTGTATCATACTCAAAACCCCCCCTGTTTACATTTATGATAATACTGGCCAGAACCATAAACATAAATATACAGACATGACTTAGCTGGGGTAATATCCTGTTTTCATCTAATTACGGAGTCCTGTCCAGTCGCCTGATTCTCTCGTTATGCAGGACTGCAATTCCAACAATTTCGGCTTCTATTTGAGAGGTGTCAGCCCAATATAACCTCTAGAGCGACGAAAATTCTTCTTATTTTCACTAACGTTTTCTTGGCTCATTCAAAAACAAGGCGACTCTCCCTGCTCGACCATGCAGGCGCCGAGCTTCCCATTTTTTGTAATATAATTTTTATTAAATACAATATATTTTATTAATTTACATACAAATACACTATTTTCGGAAAATATACTATGTATTTTCCACAACTTCAGCAACAGGTGGTGATGGTAGCTTATTTAAATTAAAGGATGTACAGTGTTTCCTAAATGCTGAGTAGTTCAGTTTTGAAATTAACAAGACGATGGTGTCCTTTAATATAGATAATGGCATATCAGTTTCCACGATGTCTGAAGATTGCGAACAGTTATTAACAGTGCAGGTAGAACTATGCAAGAAAATACTGAGTGAATGTAATAATTTACAACACTGTACTGTATATTACACATTTTTTTTTTTTGAGGAGGTGAGGGAAGTGAAATATAACTGATCATAAGTTTCTCAGTTTTTTAATGTGCATCTGTTTACTAATATTAACTAAAAATAAATTGTGAGAAAGATCTCATGAATGAAGTAGTGGACCCTCGCCTAACGAACGCATCGCATAACGTCGAATTCGCCTAACGATGCATTTTAACGCTAACTTTTGCCTCGGCTAACACTTAAAAACTCGCCTAACGATATTCGTTCTCGGGTACCAATTAATATTTATTTATATTAGATAAGTCTTCTAAAGCTTAAAAGTATAACAGTGTTGACGAAATGTAACCAAATTTTTTTTGTGGATTCTGATAAACCTTTCTCAAGTAGGATGCAATGCTACTTCCAAATTTATGAAAGTTAGACAGATTCTCTTCTGTCATGAGAAGCTGATGGAACACTTAAAAAAAACTGTTAATTGAAAATATAAAATCAGTTTAATTTAGTGACTGAGCAGCTCCTATTGTGCCAATTTTAACTGCAGACTCTAAAACTATAAGGATCTGTGATGATTTTAAAGTTTCACAAACAGATTCACCGTGACAAGCGTCCATTACCACGACATGAGAAACAATTGGTAATTAATACTTGTATAGTACATTTTTTAAGAAACGATAATGTCTTTTGGACTTTCTGCATCTCCAAGAATTTTCCAGAGAAATGGCACAATCATTTGTCGGTGTCAGTGTTAAAAGGGGATGCTTTGGATTGGGTGGCATTATTATCAATGGGTCACATAGAGCTGAGAACATAAAGACTTTGACAAGTGTTCAGGATTTTACAGAAATCTATTGAGTTCATTTACCATACCTCAGGTGAAGACATTCAATAATGCCAGTATTAACATCTAAGTCAGCGAGTAAAGTTTTGTTTCTTGGAATGTTGATCTGCTGTTGTAGATGAGTTAAAAAAAAATAAGTGGAGCTATATATAAACTGTCTTTATTGGAAGAGAAAGCTGTTCATGGTATAAAGGAAGTTTTACTGAATTCTCTCATGATATTCAAGTTCCTGGGAGGAAAATTCATCAATACTTGAAGCTGATACTCTATATATAAGTTCACATCTTCTCTGATCGACTTTATTACAAGTCCAACAGATGGGCAAATTAATTCTCTCTTGTGATAAACACCTAAAGCTTCGCACACAGTGAGAATTAATATTTTGGAGTTATTTCATGTTTATGATCTCTGCAATTTCGGAAAAAATGGAGGCTGAATATTATTCACTTATTTTTCGTTAATGGTGAGTCGTATCAGAGCAGAAATTCTAAAAGAAACTCTATACAGAAAAGTTTTTATCGCTTTCGTTAAATGTAATGACTCTCACAAAGAGTTTAACTTTCTGGATACATTTAAAATACTAAGACTAATTAAAAACATGCTCAATAATGTAGGTTCATTTTAAAGTTGTCTAACAAGAACACCAGCCAAAATGCTATAATTTTCACGTCTCTTGTTATAAACTAGTAATGTGTCTAATATTTTCTACTCAGTTTAATGCTAGTCTCACCATGACATCGTTGCAGAAATATTATTTGTTTTTCCCACTTACTGTTCCTTCCCCAGTTATTTATATCTGGCCAATCCTCTCAAGGGAGGTTCACTGATTCTCTCATGTGTTCTTATTTCCCCAGTAATGTGAGCTAGTTTCTCTCAGTAATGTATCTCTTGTGTGTGTTAGTGTCTGCCAGTAATGTATCTCTTATGCATGGTGTCGTCAGAACAAGTTGGATCGGTGTCTTAGTAGGAAGACACTGTACCGACGTCTGCCCTTCCTTACCTGGCTCAGGAGCTACAACACAGAATGCCTGATGGGGGACCTGATAGCTGGCTTCACCGTTGGCCTCGTGATGATACCCCAGGCGCTGGCTTACGGTCTCGTAGCTGGTCTTCCTCCAAGTGTAAGTTACCTTTTGATTACTCCCTTGTTTATCTTGCCATTATGCCTGCCCTTTCCCCCAGCAACTAACTAAATCCTTGTAAGATTCTTGTAAGAACTTCTGTAATTGTTAGAAAATATAACTTTATTCATTGTGTGGTCTGCTGATATCCATTAAGATATCCTGAGCTGCCACTCGCGACGAGCATTGGGTGCACAATTTGTTGTTGCTGTGGCAACAGTTTAACTGCCAAACCAACATCTCTATCTTTTCCTTATTGACAACTAATCCGAAAATGAAAAATAGTGGACGGTTTGGTTTGTCCTGGAGCATTATAAGCTCGTCAGCTATTTATTTGTGTCAGCCTGGCTACTGTTTCCCCTCCCTCTTCCTCTCTGCTACAGTATGGGCTGTACTCTGCCTTCATTCCCTGCTTCGTATACTTCCTGCTGGGGTCGACCAGTGAGCTCAGTATCGGACCAACAGCCATCATGTCCCTCATGACGTACCAGTATACCGGTCAGGGCGGGGGTGACTATGCTGTTCTCCTCACCTTCATGGCTGGCATCATAGAACTGGTCGCTGGCATCGTCAACTTAGGTAAGTTCCTCCACTTTAAAAGACAAAAAAGAGTAGTTGCATTTGATAGTGTGACATGCACTATGTCCGGCTTGTTCTATGCAATTGTACTAAATTACAGCCCGAAATTGAAGTCCTAAAAGAAACGTGAAAAGATGGTGTGTACAAGTAACTTTAATTTCTACAGTGAACTGAACTAATGTACGTTTAGCTTAGTCAAACCCAGGGCCGGATTTATAAGGGAAAAAAAAGGGGGGGGGGAACTACCTCGGGTCACCCTGCCAGAGGGGCCCCCAAAGAAAGGACTTCCTTCATAACAAAATGTAATAAGAAATCAGTTCAATTAATAAAAGGAATTAACAAATAGTGTGTGTGGGGGCATCAGAAAAAAGAAAGGGTGGCCTTCACCCCCCTCTCCCCTTGAAGAACATGACTTAATTATTTCTGGTTTGAGTCAGTTTAGAGGTAAATGACTAGACTGTGAGGTCAGAGGTGACTAGGGTTCACACGTACATGTGTGTGTGTGTGTGTGTGTGTGTGTGTGTGTGTACTCACCTATTTGTACTCACCTATTTGTGGTTGCAGGGGTCGAGTCCTAGCTCCTGGCCCCGCCTCTTCACCGGTTGCTACTAGGCCCTCTCTCTCCCCGCTCCATGAGCTTTATCAAACCTCGTCTTAAAACTGTGTATGGTTCCTGCCTCCACTACGTCATTTTCTAGGCTATTCCACTGCCTTACAACTCTATGACTGAAGAAATACTTCCTACTATCTCTCTGACTCATTTGTGTCTTCAACTTCCAATTGTGGCCTCTTGTTTCTGTGTCCCCTCCCTGGAACATCCTGTCTTTGTCCACCTTGTCTATTCCACGCAGTATTTTATATGTCGTTATCATGTCTCCCCTGACCCTCCTGTCCTCCAGTGTGGTCAGGCCGATTTCCCTTAATCTTTCTTCATAGGACATTCCCCTTAGCTCTGGAACTAACCTTGTCGCAAACCTTTGTACTTTCTCTATTTTCTTGACGTGCTTTATCAAGTGCGGGTTCCAAACAGGTGCTGCATACTCCAGTATGGGCCTGACATACACGGTGTACAGTGTCTTGAATGATTCCTTACTAAGGTATCGGAATGCTGTTCTCAGGTTTGCCAGGCGCCCATATGCTGCAGCAGTTATCTGATTGATGTGTGCTTCCGGAGACATGCTCGGTGTTATACTCCCCCCAAGATCTTTCTCCTTGAGTGAGGTTTGCAGTCTTTGGCCACCTAGCCTATACTCTGTCTGTGGTCTTCTGTGCCCTTCCCATATCTTCATGACTTTGCATTTGGCAGGATTAAATTCGAGAAGCCATTTGCTGGACCAGGTGTCCAGTCTGTCCAGGTCTCTTTGAAGTCCTGCCTGGTCCTCATCAGATTTAATTCTCCTCATTAACTTCACATCATCTGCAAACAGGGACACTTCTGAGTCTAACCCTTCCGTCATGTCGTTTCACATATACCAAAAATAGCACTGGTCCTAGGACCGACCCCTGTGGGACCCGCTCGTCACAGGTGCCCACTGTGATACATCATTACGTACCATGACTCGTTGTTGCCTCCCTGTCAGGTATTCTCTGATCCATTGCAGTGCCCTTCCTGTTATATGCGCCTGATGCTCTAGCTTCTGCACTAATCTCTTGTGAGGAACTGTGTCAAAGGCCTTCTTGCAGTCCAAGAAGATGCAATCAACCCACCCCTCTCTCTCTTGTCTTACTTCTGTTATTTTATCATAAAACTCCAGAAGGTTTGTGACACAGGATTTGCCTTCCGTGAATCCGTGCTGGTTGGCATTTATACTCCTGTTCCGTTCCAGGTGCTCCACCACTCTCCTCCTGATAATCTTCTCCATAATTTTGCATACTATACACATCAATGACACAGGTCTATAGTTTAGTGCCTCTTTTCTGTCTCCTTTTTTAAAAATGGGAACTACATTTGCCGTCTTCCCATCCCTCAGGTGGCCCCAGTTTCCGGGGATGTTTTGAAATTGTGGTACCGGGGTTTACTGGAGGGGTTTGGGGGGTAAGGGCACGCACAACATTTGCTCCCTTTTAAAGGACCCCGGGGAGAGTTGTCTGGTCCCATTGCCTTTGAGGTATCGTGTCCCTTAGCATTTCTTCACCCCTCCCATCGTGTGATTGTCCAACACTTTTGGTGTTTTCCCTTGCGGGTGCCCACGGTCTGCCCCCCCGAGCCCCTTCCTGTCTTACTGTAAATCTTCCTTAAAATCTGTTTGAGCCCCTCACTCCTCTTGATATTTTCTTGTGAGTTCCCCACCTTTTTTTCCTCAGCCTTATCCCGGGTCCTTGACTGTTGTTTCCCCCCAATGTGGCTTACAGCATTTTCGGGTCAGATTTGGAATTTCGATGCTATGTCGTTTTTTAACGTCGCGGGCCCCCTCCTTTTCTGTGTATGTTCTGGTCTTTTCTATTTTCCTTGTTTTCCGGGTCCAGCCTCCTTACCTTTTCCATTATCTGTTTCACTTAGTTTTGCCTCCCTTTCACCCCGGGTAAACCAAGGGCCGTTTTGGGCTTCCCATTTTTTCCGTTTCCCCTTGGGGAACAAAACTTTCCCCCGCCTCCTTGCACTTTTGTTGCCACATTTCCCTCATCTGTTTACTGTTTTCCTACCCTTTCTCTGTCCCCCCTGAAATCCTGCAGGAAGTTTTCATCTGTGTAGTCCCCCTTTTATAGTTTGGCCTGTCCCCTTCGTTCCTGTTACCCTTTTCCCCTTGTAATCTACATATAGTCAAAACTCAGAACCAAAAGATCGCTAGCTCCAAGGGGGCCCCTCATAAGTGATGTCCCCAATGTTGAAAATGCTAGGGTGAAAAACAACCAGTCTTGTGGCTCATCCCCCCCTCTCTCTCTGGTTGTGTCCCTGACATGTTGTGCTGAGGTTTTCAAGTACCACATCCATCATCTTGGGTCTCCATGTTTCGGGACCCCCATTTTGGCTCCGGTTTTCCCCAGTCGATCCCCCTGGGGTTTGAAATCGCCCATTACCGTAACTTTGCTCGCTCGAGTGAGCTTTTTCTTGCCACCTCAGCCGTGTGTCCACCTCCCCGTTTTTTTCTTCGTATCCTCTCTTGGCCTCCTGCGTTCTGTGGTGGGTTAACATCACTCCAATGACTCTTTATTTTCTCCGGACTAAAATTGTCCCTTTACAATGAGTCTTTTCTCCAATCATGCCTGCCTTCCATTTCCTAAAATCCCCATGGGTGTTTTATGAGCAGTGCAACCCCTCCCCCCCCTCTATCCTTTATTTTTCCTCAGGATTGTACCTGGGGGAAGATTGTGTCTTTTATTGTCTCGCGGTTTTGTTTTCTGTGACTGCTATGAGTCTGGGGATTTTTTCCTGATTTTTTCTTTCCCACTCCTATTTTATTCATTTTTCCCATCCGCTTTTGGTCCCAAACCCCTTTTAGTTTTTTTTCTATCATTGTGGTCTTTTGAAAGTTATTGGGGTTGGGGGGCGAGAGCCTTGGGGGGGGGCCTTTTGGGGGCTGTGGTGAGGGTGGGGCTTTGTTGAGGGGGTGGGGTCAGAATCCCCCATAAGGGACAGCTTTTGGGGTGAGGTTTGTGATATGGGGTTGGTGGCGGGGGGAACAGTGGTGGGTTGTAGTATTTTTTGCTCATTGCGTGGGAAGTCGGGGGTGGAGTTTTTGGGGGGGAAATTCTGTGGGGTGTTTTTGCCCCTCCTGTGTTGGGCCTGTCATTTTATTGCTTCTCGTTCCTCCTTGCGTCTCTGTCCCCCTCTTTCAGTGTATCCTTTTTCTTGTGTTCTGTCGCGGTGAGGTATACTCTTGGTACCCCCTTTGTCCCCCAGTCTTGCTTCTCTTTTCAGAATCCCGGTTTGAACTGTTCTTCCTTTAAAGTTACTCTGACAGGCCGTTTTCCTTCCATCGCAAACCCCCCAATTCTCTGAAAATTTGTTACCTGGGTCATATTTCCCTCCCCTATTGTTTTCATGATCTTTTAATATTTTTTTTTTCCTCCTGTTTTATTTTTCAAATTGGGCCCCCCTTTGGTTCTTGGAGGCCCCTCCAAAAACTGACCTCGCCCTTTCCTCCCCCCATGAGTCTCCATCTGCTCCTGAGGCATTTTATTTCCTTCCATTGAATGTTTTTGCCCTTTTCCCTGTCAATCTGAAAAAATTTTTCTCAGTGGACGTCTTTCCTGACCACTGTCCCTTGACTGCATTGGCTGTTTTGAATCTCTGCTATAGCATCCTTCTTGTCTTCGGACCTGTCGTTTGATCTTTGTTTTTGCTCGTGTCTTTTTTCCCGGCCCCCCGTGGGTTGTTGGGCCTTTGTGACGGCATGTCTCCCCCCTTTTTTGCTACCGTCCCTTTTTCGCACCTGACTTTGAATTTTTTGATGTCACACCTAATTGCATTTTTCTTCTAATCGTTTTTAGGCTTTGAGTTCTTTCAAGCACTGATCCTAGCTTCTGCTGCTAAGACCCCGTACTTCCACTGTGTGTGGTGTGGTGTGTGGGGGTTGTGTTGTGGGTGTGTTTGTTTTGTGTGTGTGTGTGGCGCGTGCGCGTGGTAGCTATTTCGGTTTTGCTTTTATGGCTATGCGACCTCAAAGGGCTGTTTTGGCAGTGTGTTTAGAGGTCAATGACCGATCACATGGGGCCCGGGGGTTATATATGCTGTGTGTGCTTTGTTGGCCCCTTTTAGTGGTGACAAACAACACAGCAATGGCGGGAGCAGTTTGGGAGGGGTTTTTTTGATCTGTGTGTTGCTCACAAAGGGTTTTCAATATAATTTTGCAGTTCAGTTTCAAAGCACACAACACAAAATTATATTTTATAATATATATATATATATATATATATATAAATTTTTTAATAATAATAAAGACGTGCCGAAAAAGTAAAACGGGGCAATTAGCAGAAAACCCCCTTTAAAATTTGTCCCGTCTAAAAAATTTTTTTATACGTTAAAGATATATTTTTTTTTTAATGTTAATATAAAAAAATAAAATTTTGCACCAAAAGGATCTTAGAAAACTTACCTAACCTTATTATAACAAGCGCAATTTATTTTAGCCTAACCCAACTAAATATATTTTAAAATACGTTTACAATAATTTAGTACTAAACAAACACAATCAAATATATTTTTTTCGTTAGGTTCAGAATGATTTTGGCGAAATTATTGCATACACAAATTTTCGCTTGTCCTATATGGCAAGATGAGCGTTGCTATTTAAGCCAAGATCGCAAGTTCTGCCTATTCGGCACGACATATATATATATATATATATATATATATATATATATATATATATATATATATATATATATATATATATATATATATATATATATCACTGCGACTAGCCTAAGACTCAAACCCATGTTGTTTTGGCCTGCCTCATTGTGAACAAAATCACATGATGCTCTAACCCACAGGAACACACAATCCTAAAAGAACCAAGCACCAAACCAGGCTAGGTCCGGGGACATGTGGTTTGGGTGCCTCTGAGCTAATTTCATTCTACTCCCAGTTTGGTGTACTAGCCCAACAAACAGTATTTTATATTACTGTAAGCACAAACGAGTGGTACTGATCAATAATAACACTGCGAATAGGCAAGGACTCACACCCATGTTGCAGTATTGTTATTGATCAATACCACATGTTCATGGTTACAATAGTATAAAATACTGCTTGCTGGACTAGTACACCAAATGGGGAGTAGAATGAAATTAGCTCAGAGGCACCCACACCACCGTATATCCTCAGACCAAGGTAGCACACAGCTTGGCTGGGTGCTTGGTTCTTGTAAGATTGTATGGCCCTGTGGGTTAGAGCAGCATGTGTTTTTGCTCACCATGATGCAGGCCAAAACAATATGGGTTCGAGTCCTTGGCTAGTAGCAGTGTTATTGATATACGTGAGTGTACGCACTGATTGCTACTAGGTCCTCTCTCTCCCTGCTCCATTACCTTTATCAAATCTCCTCTTAAAACTATGTATGGTTCCCACCTCCACTACATCACTTTCTAGGCTATTCCACTGCCTGACAACTCTATGACTGAAGAAATACTTCCTAACACCCCTTTGACTCATCTGAGTCTTCAATTTCCAATTGTGACCCCCTGTTTCTGTGTCCCATCACTGGAACATGCTATCTTTGTCCACCTTGTCTATTCCACGCAGTTTTATATAGGTCATTATCATGACTTCCCTGACCCTCCTGTCCTCCAGTGTCGTCAGGCCAATTTCCCTTAAGATTTCTTCGTAGGACAATCTTTACCTCTGGGACTAGTCTTGTTGCAAACCTTTGCACTTTCTCTTGTTTCTGGCGTGCTTCACCAGGTGTGGATTCCAAACCAATGCTGCATACTCCAGTATGGACCTGACGTATATGATGTACAGAGTCTTGAACGATTCCTTACTGAGGTATTGGAACGCTATTCTTAGGTTTGCCAGATGCCCATATGCTGCAGCAGTTATCTGATTGATGTGCACCTCAGGAGATGTGCTCGTTATTATACTCACCCCAAGATCTTTTTCCTTGAGTGAGGTTTGCATTCTTTGGTCACCTAGACTATACTCTGTCTTTGGTCTTCTTTGCCCTTCCCTGATCTTCCTGACTTTGCATTTGGTAGGGTTAAATTCCAGGAGCCAGTTGCTGGACCAGGCTTGTAACCTGTCCAGATCTCTTTGTAGTCCTGCCTGATCCTCGACTGATTTGATTCTCCTCATTAACCTCACATCATCTTCAAACAAGGACACTTCTCAGTCTACCCCTTCTGTTATGTCATTCACATATACCAAAAACAGCACAGGTCCTAGGACTGACTCCCGTGGAACCCCGATTGTTACAAGCACCCACTCTGACACCTTGTCAAGTACCATGACACTTTGCCTCAATGTCAGATATTCTCTGATGTATGTGTGTGTGTGTGTGTGTGTGCATTCGTGTAGTTGTACTCACCTGGTTGTAGTTGCAGGGGTCGATCCATAGCTCCTGGCCCCGCCTCTTCACTGGCCGCTACTGGTGTGTGTGCTACTGAGTGTGTGTGTGTCTATGGATGTGCATGCTTGTGTAAGATGTAACTGCTAAACGATAATATATGGCAAACCTTTGTGAGCAACACACAGATCTAAAACACAGACACCACTGCCCCACACCATTGCCTAGCACTAGAAGTAGTCGACGAGCACACACAGAGACATATGTATAGCCGCAGGCTACCAAGTGACTCGGTCATTGACCTCTTAACTCACACTAACAAGAAACAGCCCTTCTGAGGTCGACAGCCTATCAAAGCCATACACGCAATAGTTACCTCACAATAGCTACCTCTCACACAACCCGAGACCTCATTCAACGGGCTATAAGTTTTCAACGTTTGTGTACGGTAACTAGGGCCAGATTCTGGGAACAGTTGGTATGTGTGCATGCTCTGTGAATAAGGTTATTGACCTAATTCCTAGTATCCAGTAAATTTCTAAACTTTCAGCAATAAAGCTTCAATTGTTCAAAAATAGGCTTTTCCTAATTCATCGACGGCAGAGAGGAAATTCAAGTGTGTATGTTCTCTAAGATAAAAGTACTAAACGAACCATCAACATAGACTTCTTATCTGCAGTAGCAAATTCCTGGAAGAGGAATGTTCTTTATTGAAGCAAGTTTTTTTTCTGAAATTCAGTACGTATTCTCGTTATTTTGTCAAAAAACTGCAGACATCTTGTACGTAACATTTTCAACTCACCTGGATGATACACAACCCTAAGAAGATATATAGCTGATGAATTAGACATCTGTGCAACATCTTTATTATTATTATATAGACAAATTATTATGTAGACAAATAACCTGAACAGAGCTGTTTGTCTATTAAGCCTTTTAATTCTTTATTCTGTTGACGTTCTGGCAACCAGTGGCTTTATCAATAAAATACAGAAGACTGGTGAGGTAGAAGGTGAAGTAATATGTTCCTCAGGCAAGGTGGTGTTCAGTACCATAGTCTTGATAAATCTGAAGCAGATGCAGCAAGACGTGGGCTTATATAATGGAGTCAAATTAATGAAGGTATTGTCATTGGTAGGAGTGTTTCCCCCACAAAATATTATTAAAAAAAGTGGCAGATCATGGTATTGTCATAGATCGAGGCGTTGGGATCAGTCACAAGTGGCGTTCCACAAGGATCAGTTTTAGGCCTCTTGTTCATAATAAGCATCAATGACCTTGACGAGGAAATAAGTGATGCGACTAAATTCGTTGACAATACAAAAAGTGCTACCGACCTTCAGGAGGATATAGAGAAGCTCATGTCGTGGTCAGAAAAGTGGCAGATGAAGTTCAGTGTTAATGAAGCTCAGAAATGTAAATAAACCTAGCACGTATACACTAAATAATATAGAACTTGGCCATAAAAGATGCGAAAAGAACTTAGGGGTTATGATAAGTATCAACCCTAAGCCAAGACAACAATGCCTAGGTGTACGTAATAGGGCAAACAGATTACCGGGATTTATATAAAGAAGTGTAAGCAACAGGAGTCCAGAGGTTATACTACAACTACACCTCACCTGGATTATGCATCTCTCTTCTGGTTTCCTGTTACTCCAGCTTCAGTGTATTCTTTCTCATCACAATGTTGTATCTGCAGGGCTGTTGATTCCTTATTTGATACATCTGCAAGGTTTTTAACCAGCTTCCACATTGTTCCTGATCAGTTTCACTCCTATTATATTTACATGTTTCCTGATCAGTTTAGAATTTGAATATTACATTTTTAGGGTTCGTCATCAACTTCATCTCTCAGCCAGTCATCAGTGGGTTCACCTCAGCTGCAGCTATCATCATAGTTTCGTCCCAGCTTAAGCTCATGTTTGGTCTTCGTCTCCAGACCAAAGGGCTGGTCAATACTTGGGAGAAAATTTTCTCAAATATTCAAGATATCCGATGGCAGGACCTCACACTTGGCTTCATCTGCATTGTCGTCCTCTTCCTCCTGAAGGTAAGAGGATCATGGCATTATCTATATTATTTGAAAATGTTTATCGACTTGTTTTTAGTCCTGTACTTCTAAATTTCCCAAGGTCCTCTTTTCTTATGCCTATTTTCTTGATGTTAAAGTACTTTTATTTAAAAAATCTTTTTCCTTGAGTTTATGTAGGACATATTCAAATTTTTCTTCTACCCAAATGACAATCTTGTGTGTTAGTTTTTGCATTATTTCTGGATGCTTTGAACCATTATTATTCTTGTGTACGAATGGTATATAATACCGACAAGATGAGAGTGAGACACATGTGCAACATGTGTCTCACTCTCATTATTATTCTTATCAATCTTCTAATTTCCTCTTTATCGCCAGAAGTGCTCAGTGATCTCTTATGTTAAATAGTTCCATAAATCTCACAACTGCGATCCAAATGAACGTTCTGACGTATTATTTTTTTTTTTTTTACATTGTTTTTCCCTGAAATCAGTTTGTTGTAGGTTTTGTAAATTCACAAATGACATTGTAAACATCAAAACTCTCAACACTTCCATTGTAGATGTCACAATGGTTACTCCTATTTGCTAGTGAAATTATTGAATATACCCAGAACTTCCAGCTGTTGCTCTGTCAACTCTTGCATTGCTGTCAGTTTTATCTCATTAATAAATGTGGATAAGGTCAATTTCCTTCAAAGATCACTATGTTAGTCTGTAGATATATATTTTTCTTTAAAATTTACTTTAGCTTAATTTTTTTCCGTCTAAGTTGGAGTAAATCGTCTTCGTCTTCTGGGACCAGGTGTTCCCAGGTCTAGCCCCATTCCCTGCCCCCCACGGGGCTCGGAGGGAGAAGCTAGGCACCTTGTGCTGCCACAAACACTGCCCACACTGAGCTCGAAGGGTGTGGCAGCTGCATAGCAGCAGAGGATGCTAGGAGGTGCAGAGGCAGCAAGTACTACAGAATCCTTTTGGAGTCACACCCCAGCTTTGGGCACTAAGCCCGAGTGCTAGGGAAGCTCAAGAATGCCTCTTGTTGTGCGTGTTGCTGCTGCTACTACTACACTTGTCCATTCCACTCTCTGTATCGAAAAGGGCAACTACGTGAGGTATGGAAGACAGCAAATGTAGCCCCCAGTTTCTAAAACAGGAGACAGACACGCAGTATTAAACCACATACCAGTGTCACTGACATGTATAGTATGCAAAATCATGGAGAAGATTATCAGAATGGTGGTGGGGCATCTAGAAAGGAATGAGCTTATCAACGACACCCAGTACAATTTCAGGGACGGGAAATCCTGTGTCACAAACCTACTAGAGTTCTATGACAGGGTGACAGCAGTAGGACAAGAAAGAGAGAGGGGTGGATAGATTGCACTTTCTTGGACTGTAAGAAGGGTTTTGACACAGTTCCACACAAGAGATTAGTGCAAAAGTTGGAGGACCAGACAAGATTAACAGGGAAGGCACTGCAATAGATCAGAGTATACCTGATGGGAAGACAGCGGGTTATGGTAAATGACGAGGTGTCAGAGTGGGCGCCTGTGACGAGCGGGGTTCCACAGGGGTCAGTCCTAGGACCGGTGCTATTTTTAGTATATACTAATGACATGACGGAAGGAATAGACTCACAAGTATCCCTCTTTGCAGACGATGTGAAGTTAATGAGAAGAATTCAGTCAGAGGAGGTCTAGGCAGGACTACAAAGGGATCTCGTCAAGCTGCATGCCTGGTCCAGAAACTGGCTCCTGGAGTTCAACCCAACCAAGTGCAAAGTCATGAAGATCAGGAAAGGGCAAGGAAGACCAAAGACCGGGCCAAAGACTACAAACCTTACTAAAGGAAAAGGAACTTGGGGTGAGTATAATATTGAACATATTTCCAGAGGCTAACATCTACCAAATACCTGTTGCAGCACATGGATCCTAGAAAACCTAAGAACAGCATTCCGACATCTCAATAAGGGATCGTTCAGGACTCTCATATATATATGAGGATGAGGGTCCCCAGGACAGTTCTAGAGGTGGTACCTCCCTATATTTTTTGTATCTGGATATATATATATATATATATAGTAGGTAGTAGGTTGGTAGACAGCAACCACCCAGGGAAGTACTACCGTCCTGCCAGATGACTGTGAAACAAAAACCTGTAACTGTTTTGCATGATGGTAGGATTGCTGGTTTCTTTTTCTGTCTCATAAACACGCTAAGATAACAGGGATATCTTGCTACTCCTACTTACACTTTGGTCACACTTCACAGACACGCACATGCATATATATATATACATACATCTAGGTTTTTCTCCTTTTTCTAAATAGCTCTTGTTCTTTTTTATTTCTTCTATTGTCCATGGGGAAGTGGAAAAGAATCTTTCCTCCGTAAGCCATGCGTGTCGTATGAGGCGACTAAAATGCCGGAGCAATGGGCTAGTAACCCCTTCTCCTGTATACAATTACTAAAAAAGAGAAGAAGAAAAACTTTATAAAACTGGGTTGCTTAAATGTGCGTGGATGTAGTGCGGATGACAAGAAACAGATGATTGCTGATGTTATGAATGAAAAGAAGTTGGATGTCCTGGCCCTAAGCGAAACAAAGCTGAAGGGGGTAGGAGAGTTTCAGTGGGGGAAATAAATGGGATTAAATCTGGAGTATCTGAGAGAGTTAGAGCAAAAGGAAGGGGTAGCAGTAATGTTAAATGATCAGTTATGGAAGGAGAAAAGAGAATATGAATGTGTAAATTCAAGAATTATGTGGATTAAAGTAAAGGTTGGATGCGAGAAGTGGGTCATAATAAGCGTGTATGCACCTGGAGAAGAGAGGAATGCAGAGGAGAGAGAGAGATTTTGGGAGATGTTAAGTGAATGTATAGGAGCCTTTGAACCAAGTGAGAGAGTAATTGTGCTAGGGGACTTGAATGCTAAAGTAGGAGAAACTTTTAGAGAGGGTGTGGTAGGTAAGTTTGGGGTGCCAGGTGTAAATGATAATGGGAGCCCTTTGATTGAACTTTGTATAGAAAGGGGTTTAGTTATAGGTAATACTTATTTTAAGAAAAAGAGGATAAATAAGTATACACGATATGATGTAGGGCGAAATGACAGTAGTTTGTTGGATTATGTATTGGTAGATAAAAGACTGTTGAGTAGACTTCAGGATGTACATGTTTATAGAGGGGCCACAGATATATCAGATCACTTTCTAGTTGTAGCTACACTGAGAGTAAAAGGTAGATGGGATACAAGGAGAATAGAAGCATCAGGGAAGAGAGAGGTGAAGGTTTATAAACTAAAGAGGAGGCAGTTAGGGTAAGATATAAACAGCTATTGGAGGATAGATGGGCTAATGAGAGCATAGGCAATGGGGTCGAAGAGGTATGGGGGTAGGTTTAAAAATGTAGTGTTAGAGTGTTCAGCAGAAGTTTGTGGTTACAGGAAAGTGGGTGCAGGAGGGAAGAGGAGCGATTGGGGGAATGATGATGTAAAGAGAGTAGTAAGGGAGAAAAAGTTAGCATATGAGAAGTTTTTACAAAGTAGAAGTGATGCAAGGAGGGAAGAGTATATGGAGAAAAAGAGAGAGGTTAAGAGAGTGGTGAAGCAATGTAAAAAGAGAGCAAATGAGAGAGTGGGTGAGATGTTATCAACAAATTTTGTTGAAAATAAGAAAAAGTTTTGGAGTGAGATTAACAAGTTAAGAAAGCCTAGAGAACAAATTGATTTGTCAGTTAAAAATAGAGAGGAGAGTTATTAAATGGAGAGTTAGAGGTATTGGGAAGATGGAAGGAATATTTTGAGGAATTGTTAAATGTTGATGAAGATAGGGAAGCTGTGATTTCGTGTATAGGGCAAGGAGGAATAACATCTTGTAGGAGTGAGGAAGAGCCAGTTGTGAGTGTGGGGGAAGTTCGTGAGGCAGTAGGTAAAATGAAAGGGGGTAAGGCAGCCGGGATTGATGGGATAAAGATAGAAATGTTAAAAGCAGGTGGGGATATAGTTTTGGAGTGGTTGGTGCAATTATTTAATAAATGTATGGAAGAGGGTAAGGTACCTAGGGATTGGCAGAGAGCATGCATAGTTCCTTTGTAAAAAGGGCAAAGGGGATAAAAGAGAGTCCCAAAAATTATAGGGGGATAAGTCTGTTGAGTGTACCTGGTAAAGTGTATGGTAGAGTTATAATTGAAAGAATTAAGAGTAAGACGGAGAATAGGATAGCAGATGAACAAGGAGGCTTTTAGGAAAGGTAGGGGGTGTGTGACCAGGTGTTTACAGTGAAACATATAAGTGAACAGTATTTAGATAAGGCTAAAGAGGTCTTTGTGGCATTTATGGATTTGGAAAAGGCGTATGACAGGGTGGATAGGGGGGCAAGTGGCAGATGTTGAAAGTGTATGGTGTAGGGGGTAGGTTACTGAAAGCAAAAAGATTTTTTTAAACGAGGTATGAGGCTAAAGTTAGGGGATGTGGGAAAGGGGGGAAAATTTTTTCCCAGTAAAAGTAGGCCTTAGACAAGGATGTGTATGTCACCGTGTTGTTTAATATATTATAGATGGGTTGTAAGGAAGTAAAGCGGGGGTTTTGGAAAGGGGGCGGGGGAGAAAAGATAAAGATCACACACAAGGGGGATTGTCACAGCTGCCTTTGCTGATGACACTGTGCTTTGGGGAGTTTGAAGAAAATTTTTGCAAGATTGGTGGAAAAATTTGGTAGGTGTGAAAAAAAGAAAAATTTAAAGGTAATACAGGAAAGAGTAAGGTTTATGAGGATAACAAAAGATTAGTGATGAAAGATTGAATACAGATTGGGGGGAGAGAGTATGGAGGAGGTAAACGATTCAGAATTTGGGATGGACGTGTCACGGGGGGGTCTATGAAAGATGAGGTGAATCATAGAATTGTGGGGGAAAAAGATGGGGGTGCACTTAGAGTCGTGGGACAAAGAACTTTGCCCTTTGGAGGCAAAGAGGGGAATTTGGAGTATATTTTTTCCCAAAACGCTTTTATATGGGTTGTAAGCGT